GCCCGGAGGCCCGGCTCACCTGTGGCCCGCTGGGTCCTGGCGACAATGTACTTGCGGAGCTTCCGCACCGCTCGGTCCCGGGTCACCTGCTCGTTGCCCGCCAGGCGCTGCGCCAGCTGGATCTCGGGGGGAAGCTGCGCGCCAGGACCCATGCTCGCCGTCCAGACCCCGCGCCGGAGCTAAGCGGTGGCGCGCGCGTGACGCCACACGGCCGTACGTCACAGCCCTGCGCCGGCGCCGGGCCTTACGTCGCACTCCTGCGACACCCTCTTAGGTCACGAGCCGGAGAGGACCCCGGGCCGCTCGCTACCGCCGCTCAGCGGTCGGGCCGCGCCACTGCAGCCTGTGGGGAAGGCGGGCGGCGAGGCCGCAGTGCGGGAGGGTCGTGGCTTCTCAAGCGCAGCGGGCCCCCGCGGCCACCCCGGCCTGCCGACGTACGGGCGGCCCACGGGCCGGCGCGGTGACCCCCGGGAACACGACGGGCTGCCGAGCCCGCAGGCGCAGTGCCTGCTTCCTGCTTTTGGCAGTACTTTTTTTTTTTTCTTTTTTCTGGAACCGGGGATCGAACTCACGACCTTGCGCTTGCAGGGCAGGCGCTGTGCCGCTGATCTAAATCCCCAGCCCCTTCTTTCCCAGTATTGAGAGCTGAGCCCGGGGCCCTCACGCTGAGTGACCTCCCCAGCCCGTTTCAGCCTTTCTTTTGGAATAAGGGCTCCAGGTCCTTAAGTCGCTGAATTGCCCAGGCTGAGCTCTAACTTGAAATCCTCCCGCCTCAGCTTTCCGGGGACTCAAACATGCACTGCCACGCCTGGCTAACAGACGAGGGCTTGAGGCAGGAAGACATCTTCATTCAGAAGGTTACCTGGGGCTGGGGGCTTAACTCAGCGGCACAGCGCCTGCCTGGCAAGTGCAAGGTCGTGAGTTTGACTCCCGGTACCGGAAAAAAAAAAAAAAAAAAAAAGAACTTAGGCTGTAACTACTTGTTAGATCTTTCTTGCATATCTCTGTCTTCCTGAGAAACCACTTTGAAGATACCACCATGTATTACAGCAGCCATT